GGCTGCAGGGGGGGTCTCCCCAGAGCAGAGGCTGCCCCCAGCTGCCAGCTCCCTCTGGGGAGTGAGAGCTGCACCCTCCTGATTGACTGTGGCTCAAGGACCCCACACCAGCGGCTGAGATGGGAGCCCTAGGCTAATCCTGAGCTGTTGTCTCCAATTCCCCACCCCAGAGCCTCTGGAGGTTGCCCCAAAGCTGGACCTTCCTGGCTGAGAAGGTTTCCTTGTCCCCAGCTTCCCTTGGGCAATACCGGGAGGGACCCACCAGGGTGCCTGCAAGCCAAACGCATCTGTGAACCAGGCATTATTGTATGAGAAATCACGTTTTGAAGTTTTGAACAGTAGACGTGTCCTTCCCCCACACTGCGGGTTTCCTTCTGATCTTTTCCAAACAATAAAAAAGTGGTGTTTCAAGCAGAAAAAGAGTTTTAGTTGATAAGAAAGTGTTTTAGTGAAAACGTTCCCACTGTTCCAAGCGGTGTGTATGAGTGAAATGCAGGGGGGGCTTGGGGAGGCTGGCTTCTCTGGGAGGCAAACACCACTGGCTCTTATCAAGGCTCCTGCCTGCACAATCATCTGATGTGTGTGCCCATACCTGCGTGGCAGGGGCGGAGGGCAGCCCTCCCCGGGGGTGTGACGCCACCCTTGGAGTGGGAGAGGGGACAAGAGGCTGCCTGGCCTCTTCCCAGTGAGCAGGGACATCCCTGGCAGGGCTGAGGCTGCAGGAGGGAAGCGGCTCAGCTCCCTGTCCCACCGAGGGGCTGCCGGTTCCACCACGTGCCTCGCTGCCTCTCCAGCCAGGTCAAAATCTTCAGCTTGACTGGGAAGCCAAGTGACATCTGTCAGGCTCAGTGCACTGAGCCGGGGCCAGGAGGAAGCCGTGCAGGGCATGTGAGTGGTGCAGTGAGTGGAAGGCTGTTATTTTGGTCTCTGGGATGTGTATGTGTGAGTGGAGGGAGCAGCTGAAGCTGGTTTCCCCGTATGGGGTTTTATGGTGTCTGATGGGTCACAGGCTGACATTCGGGCTTTCGCTGATTCACCAAGCTCCTACAGCAATGCGTGATAAAAGCCAAGCTCGGGTCACAGCCTCCCCTTTCCCCAGGAAAGCTACTGGGTCTCTGACTTCACGTTTATTTTCTTCAACTTCGGGTCATGTCTTTGACTTGCCCCGGAGCTGTGGGAGCACCCACAGTGCTGGGAGCAGCTGGGGAGGCAGAGCTGCACAGCGTTAGAGCTGTGGAACAGGCTGTGCCACGGGCAGCCCCGGACTGCCGGGAGAGGCTGGGATTTGGACTTGTGTCTGTTGGGAGTGCTGGCCCAGGGCATGGAGCACTGTGGGGACCAGAGACCACACCGCGTTTCAAGGAGGTGAGCTGCAGTCACAGCTGCATGCTGTGTGTCAGCCCTTGTATCATAGAATCCCAGATGGGTTTGGGTTGAAGGTACCTTAAAGGTCCTCCAGCTCCAACACCCTGCCACGGGCAGGGACACCTTCCACTAGAGCAGGTTGCTCCAAGCCCCTGTGTCCAACCTGGCCTTGAACACTGCCAGGGATGGGGCAGCCACAGCTTCTCTGGGCACCCTGTGCCAGCGCCTCAGCACCCTCACAGGGAAGAATTTTTTCCTAATATCTCATGTACCAGTGTCCCCAGAGCATAGCAGAGAGGGAGCCTAATGATGAGTTTGCAACTGTCTATACTGCTGCTGGTGGGGTGAAGGTGTCTCTGTTTCTCCTTCCCCAGGTGCTACATCTTCATTCATCTCTGCTTATCTTGCTCTTGGAACAGGACTGATCTCCCACCCGTGTTGCCCAGGCCAGGTCTGCGCTGCTGTGTGGGAAGGTGGTAGGATGGCTCGGAGGATGAGCATCAACGAACTGGAGGACCAGCTACTCTGTCCCATCTGCTTGGAGGTCTTCAAAGAGCCCCTGATGCTGCAGTGTGGGCATTCGTACTGCAAGTCCTGCGTGGTGTCACTCTCTGGGGAGCTGGATGGGCAGTTCCTGTGCCCCGTGTGCCGCCAGATGGTGGACTGCAGTGCCTTATCGCCCAATGTCACGCTGGCCCGTGTCATCGAGGTGCTGCAGAGCCGCTGCGAGGCAGAGCCCACCCCGGAGTCCTGCCCAACGCACCACAACCCCCTCAGCCTCTTCTGTGAGGCTGACCAGGAGGTGATCTGCGGGCTGTGCGGCACCATCGGCAACCACCGCCAGCACAAGATCACCCCCATCTCTACCGCGTACTGCCAGATGAAGGTGTGCAGGCAGAGATGGCTGCGGCTGCTGCGGCAGCGGTTAGGGCTCCTGAAGTGCTTGCTGGCCAAATGTCCCGCCTCCTTCAAGAGACAGGCTGGAAATGATGCTAGTGCAGGGAGCACAGTTCCATAGCACAGCCAGTTGTGGGGCAGGGTCCCTGGGCTCGGGGCAGCTGTTTCTCAGGCTAAGCATGTCCCTGGCTGAGAGGACTCACAGTTTTGGTGGCTGCACCACAATGGGCAGAGCTTGGGATCAGGGAGTGTCGGTGGGGCCTTTCAAGACTTTTCTAAACACCATCAAAAAGAGTCTGAAGATAAGGGCTGGGGTGAGGAAAGCAGGGAGGCAGGGGCCTAGCCAGGCAGAGTAAACATCTGGCATCCCCTGCCCAGCATCACATGAAAGCCCCAGGAATGGAAAGGCACAGGGCTACCCGTCCCCTCCACTCCTGGCACCAGGGAGATAAGAGCAGGAGGCACCAAAAATGCTCCTGCCCAGCCAGGTTCCCAGAACTGGTGGTAGGAGGGTTCTCCTGGCCTGGGGCTGGCTCTTGGCTACTGA